TTCAACTCCCAGAATTCCCCAGCCAGCATTCGCTGGCTGGGGAATTCTGGGAGTTGAAGTCCGGACATCTTCAAGTTGCCAAGGTTGAGAAACACTGGCCTAGATTCTAAGAGTTTAACCTGGAGAAAGGAACTAAGTGGGGTAGTTGGAGACAGAGTCAGAACTCAGCGGATCCAACTGGGCCCTGAGCATTAAACAGTGGCTGATTAGAGAGAAAAAAATGGAGTAGGAATGTAGAATAAAGGACAGCAACGTGATACGGTAAAGTTTAAAATTGTAAATATTTTTTCATATTAGAAACAATAAAAGACTATGGGATTGCAAAGGATCTCAGCAATGTTATCGAAAGAAGTCAAGATTTCATGTAACTTGTCATTCCCTGATAAGATTGCAAGATCTTGCTTATTTTATTGGCTCTGGAGATGATCATGTTCTGAAAATGTTGCTGACCTTGGGAGTAGAAACAAACACGGATGAGGAAGAGAAACACGGAAAACAAGATTTGGACACGGATAGAAACAGAAGCTTCCGGGGAAACTTCAAAAGGAGTCAGAGATAGTTTTCCATGTATAATTTCACATCTACAGTACATTTGGTCATGAATATATGGGCAGCCCATTAATTCCGGTCTGCATTATTACTTGGGATTACAGTCCTCCCGACTGAATCGGTTTGCAATTTAAGGCATCTTCTTGAACGTGGCATAAACTCCAGCTGTCACTCATGGCCCTCTTTAACTGTTCACAACTGTTCTAGTTATGACCCTACATAGATCAAGGTAGTCTGGTACTCATGCCTAATAGCTGGGCTGGTGCAAGGCACAGTATTTGGAGAGAACTCAGATGCTGCAACTTGTTCAGAATGCGACAGCTGCACTCTTAGGGGACAGAATAACCATTCAGAATAACACCTCCTCTAAGGCCACAGGATTGGCTGCTAGTAGGTTTCAGGGACAAATCCTAAGTGGTGGTTATCCCCTAAAAGCTGTGTATGATGTATCATCTGACACGACACCTTCCGGAATGTGACTCTTGTTAAGCAACTCTGAGTGAACCTACTGAAGGTCTCCCCACCAAGCAGGAAAGATGAGGGTTAGGATTTTTTAGGATTTTATTTATGATTTATAGGCCGCCCTTTTCCCTGAGGGGACTCAGGGCGGCTTACAATACATGGGAAGGGGGGTGCAA